AGAAAGAAGCACAAGTGAAGAAACCATTCAGAGTTAGATACCAAATTCTTCTATCAAGTTGAGAGAGGTCCAAGCAAACAGAGTCCAGAAGACGCAAGAGTTAAGAAGAAACACATGCAAGTTCTTCATCCTTTAAACCTCTATGAAACCCAAAGTCCCAATTTAGAGTCAAAGGGAGAATTGGGGGTGAAATAAACCTTGAGACTGGCTTCTTTTTAAAAAGGGAGATAGAGTAGAGAGAGGGGAAGCAACCTTTTAGAGGTTAAGTGACCACCTAAATATCTTCCCAAAAACGAATAGAATTACCGGAGCAGACATCATACCTTACAAAGCTGAGGAATTTAGGGAGAGTGCCAAAAATTGCCTTCCAAGGTGATGTAAGCAAATCCTGTCGAGATACCCCAACATCCCAACCAGTCTCAGAGACACCATGAATACTAGCCACCACCTCATGCCATAAACTCTCTCTTTCTAGTGGCCACCTCTAAATACACTTGCCTAGAAGAGATTCATTCTTACTAACTTCCCTAGCCCCAAACCCCCTTCTTTTTATTTCGACTCACCACTTCCCATCTAACTAGATGATCCCTTTTTTCTTCCCATGGCTCCCACAAGAAATCCCTCATCAATTTTTGCAATCCTCTTAGCTTCCTTGTTAGGTATCCTAAAGACTGACAAAAAGTAGATTGGCAGGTTGGCAAGTGTTGCTTTGATTAAGGTTACTCTGCCCCCCAAAGAAATGTAATTCTTCTTCCAGGCCGCCAACATTTTTTCAAACTTTTCCACCACAGGACTCCAAAGTCATCTTTCCTTTGGGTTAGCACCTAAGGGAAGTCCTAAATAGGTCAAAGGCCACTCAGAACAGGTGCAACCTAAGCAAGAAGCAATAGTCCCTAATTCCCCCCATCCAAGTTTAGTCCAACCACACAACTCTCCTCAAAGTTGTTTTTCAAATTAGAGTCACTCTTAAAGAGTACAATCAGGTTCTTCAAATTTCTCACTTCCACCAAGTCACGACCCTCACAAAAAATTATAATGTTATTTGCAAACTGAAGGTGAGTAATTGAAACTCTACTTCTACCAACTCTCCACCTATCTGCTTCTGATAAAAGTCTACTAAAAGCATCAACAACCAAAGTGAATAAGAAAGGGGACAATAGATCACCTTGTCTTAGGCCCCTACAGGCTAGGAAGAAATCATTGACTAAAATAGAGTAATGGTAGGACATAATGCAGTCATTAATCCATTTACACCATATATCCCCAAAACCAATCTTCCTAAGCACCTCTCGCAAGAAGCTCCAATCCACTAGATCATGGGCCTTCTCAAGATCTAATTTACAACAAAGCCTTGATTACCGATCTTCACATCTCCACATGTTCATTTGCTATTAAGATCTGATCAATTATTTGTCTCCCTTGTATAAAGGCACCTTGAGCTTGGCTAATTATAGATGGGAACACCTTTTAGATCCTCAATGACAAGACCTTAGCTAGAATCTTGTAAATGCTGGTCAATAAACTAATAGGTCTAAAGTGTTATGGATGTTTGGCCTCTTTTTTCTTAGGAACCAAAGCTAGAAAAGTAGCATTAACTCCACGACTTATTATTTAATTATGCTCAAACTCTTTGAAAACTTCAAACAAGTCTTCTTTAACTATATTCCAACAATCTTGAAAGAAATCCATAGTAAAACCATTCAGCCTCGGTGCCTTCGATCTATCCATTGAGAAAACAGCTTTGCCTAATTTCCTCCTCAAAATTCCTTTCCAGCCATCCTTTATTTTCTTTAGAAAATCTTTGCCAAGTAACACCTTCCATCTCCACTCTATTACCTAGAGGCCTCCTAAGAATAGATTTGAAGTGGGCAACAAAACAATTGGTTATTTCCTCTTGAGACTCATGTATCACTTGATCTACTTCAAGTTTAGTCACTAGATTTTTCCTCATCCTCTCATTGGCCATCTCATGGAAGAATTTAGTATTTCCATCTCCTTCCTTAATCCTTTTTTTACCAGCAACACAAAATTTGATTCATTAGATTAAAAAGAATATATACAATAAGAAGTTGTGGGCAGAAACAAAAAGCCCAAGAAGAACTATCCCACTATTTACAAAACAGTCCATAACATGGATTGTCTCTGAAGTCCTTGTTAGCTAAACCATCAGCCTTACTGTTTGCAGATCTCCTAATCCACTTTATTTGGACCATTGTGTCTTTAGATATCTGCTTGAAGTGCCTGAACTCATTCCTTAGCTTCCATATTACTCCTTCCCCCTTTTTCAGTCAACCCACAACTATTTTTGGATCACCTTCAATAATCAACCTACCAACTATTTTTGAATCACCTTTAATGAAATTCTGTTATTGATAAAAAAAATCTTGGATACAAAATAGTATTACAAATTCGAAATACACATTTGATATGCATAGTATGGAGGAAAGATTTGGATGCACTTGGATACATTAAGGAAACTCCCACAAATACATTAATAGCATTGAATCCAAAGTTGAAATAACTATGAATAAGGTATAAATACATAGTGAATGCATACTTCAATAGTCAATATGAAGAAATCAATTAATATCAATATAGCATGACACGTAGATATCATACAACTTTACTGATAATGCGTCAATCAGTAGTTCAAGACAAATACTATATAAATTTTTACAAATTACTACATACACGAAATTATTAATACATTATTACTTATTTAAGTTAAATAATTAATTAATAATTACATAAATATACAATGCTCTAAAAAAGATATTAGATTCATGAGAATGTAGAAGATCCAAGACAATAAATCATATGCAACCATTATATCTTGATTACTAAATCAATTATTTTCCGTTTTATTGTTTTCACTTTGGTAAATCTATGATGTTGGAAACTTGTGATACCGGAAGAGCATTGAGCAATCAATCTCCCTTGAATTTTGATGAATACCACCTGATTGGTTACTATTTTTATGATACCAATTGATTGGTTATCAGTTTTTTCGACATCATGTCTTTCTAGTATCATAGTCAAATCCTTTTTACTTTTGTATATTAACAAAAAATAAGTCAACTTACTTAATCTTTTTTATCATAAACAATAACTTTCATTAGAGATAAATTAAAACTAAAATACAGAAGTCAACCCTTATTAGAAAAGTCTCTCCCTTACAGTCCCTTGTTTTGCTAGGGTGTCAGCAAAACCATTTGTTGATCTCCTTACCCACTTGAAACAAACACCCACCTCCCTTGTTATGCTAAGTATTTCCCTTATCAGCTGTCTATACTGCCAAATTCCCAGCTGTCCTGATTGCATCCACCCAACTACCAATTTGGAGTCCCCCTCTATCTCAATCTGTTGTAGCCCCAATTGTTTGGCTAGTTTTACACCTTGATGTAGTGCCAAGATTTCCACTCTTAAGGAATCTCCAACTCCTATTGGACCTGAATAGAGAGCCATTATCTTGCCTTCATTATCTCTGAAAACACCTCCTATACCAGATGGGCCTGGATTACCTAATAAAGCTTTCATCAAAGTTCAGTCTTACCCTTTGTTGTGCTGGTGGGGACCAAACTTCCCGTATCATAGGTAATCCAAGTCCCACCGACACAACAAAGGCTGATCAAGGAAGATTTCCCCCAGCTGAGTGATCAAATCATCAACCATCCCCATTTCAGAATCCCTTAGACCTCTTCTCAAGCCCGAATCCCAGAAGTTATCAACAAACACCGAAGAGATCACTTTTCTTTTGTTTTCAGACAAGGAGTAAACAAAAGGAAATCTATCTCTAAGGGAGTTTTCACCAATCCAAACATCTTCCAAAACAAGACTTTATTTCCAACGCAAACATCATATTTGAAATAAGTGAGCATAAGAGGCAAAGTACCTTGAATAGCTTTCCAAGGAGAACACTGAGAAGCCCCAGGGTCGAGTCTTGTATCCCAGTCGTTACCTGCCAAATCCATGAATACTAACAATCACTCTAGACCAAAATTTGTCTTGTTCCATCGGTAGTCTCCAAATCCATTTCCCCAGCAGAGTCGTGTTTCTTAATCATATATTTCCTAACCCAAGGCCTCCATCATCCCTACTCCTAGAAACCACCTCCCACTTTACTAAGTGATCCTTCTTAGTGTCCCCTGGTTCCCACAAGAAATCCCTCATTATCTTCTCTAACTAGTTTTCTACTTTCACTGGCACTCTAAAGGTAGACAGGAAATAAACTAGTAGGTTGGCCAAATCATTAGAATTTCTAATATACATATCATATGTAAATTCATAAATTTTAATTACTAAAATAGTTATTCTGTTTTTGGTATTTTGATAGATCATTCATTTCACTAATATTTATAAAATACTAATTTTAATGATCATTCTTTTTATTCTTTTAGTTGAACATTCATATATAACATTGTTTATTTGGATTACATGTAGCCCCCCAAATAAAGTAAAGTGTATGTTATTTTAGTTAGTTATTTAAAAATCCACAATTAATGGCATGATTAATGGTGTAACTAATGGGCATTCAAATATGAATTTCAAAAAAAAAAAAAAAACTTGGATTGTATCAAACAATATGGATCAGTATGGACTAGTACATGCCTATGTATCAGTACTGAGACAAACTGATATGGAAGGAATAGTGCAATGTTAAATCATTCCACCATTGTATCGTATCAATCTCCTTAGAATCATGTATGTAGTGTATAAATACTATATGCATTACACTATAGAGTGACATTGAGGAACCAATACATACCTATAAATTGGGAAAAGAGAAATTACACAATTGCCACTATCATAAGAAAACTCAATAACTTCAAAACTACTCGCAATGGCCATGAAGCTTCAAACAAAACTAAACAATAACTATATAGATCAAACTTTAAGGGTAGAATCCATACGCAACATAAATAACCAAAATATCCCTACTATCTAGAAATACAAAAATACATAAAAAGATTCAGAAATTTCCAATTTTGACTCTTCCACACCTGCATTAAGGTAGCTTGTATCACAATACATTTGACTCTTCCTCTTCCCAACTCCACCTCTAGCCATGTTGTCTACAAAGAATATGTAGACCTTAGTGCCCAATCTAATGAGTTGTTTATAACTGTGGTCAATAATCTTGCTTACCTGGTGTAATGCCTCAACTATGATAGTCTATCAAAGATGTAAGCATCCAAACTATCACCACCTGAGGATCCCTTGCAATTTTTGTTCTCTCAATATCCATTGAGAATCCCATGTCACTCTCATAATCTCCCTCCCTAGTGGATACAAATGGTGCTATTACCAATTCCCCCAAAAACACATAGCTTCAAAGTGTATGATTGTATTATGCTTATATGCTACTTCTAAGTTCCAACATCGGAGATTTTTTTATTTAAGACCCAAGGTAGTAGCAGGTAGGGGCCATTTCTTGGTTAAATTGTAAAATATCAGGCTGAAAGCATGCAAACACAGGTTCAAGTCTGAGATCAGCCACTATGCAACAAAGTGCTGAAGGTTAGATCTGTATCCAGTCCACACCTCCCAAAACCCTGGAATGGCTGGGTCCAATATTGGGTAATGGCCCTTTGCCCTTCTAGTCAAGAGTAGGAGGTAATGCAGAATGCATTCCAACTACATACTTCTCTAAAAAATAAATAAATAAATAAATATAGCCATTACAAGTACATATGCATATTACAAATATCAACATGCAGGTGGCAGAAAAAAAAAACAATTCAATAGAAAAAACATGGATATAAAAATTTCAATAAATATAAGAACATACCCACTTGTGGAAAAGGAGGGCAAAGATATTAGATGCAAAAGACTGGCTCCAAAGCTGGACAATCAAATCAAGAATAGGTTTTCCATTCTCAGGCACCTTAACATAATGATCGGCAAGGACATCATAAAAGCAAAGATGATTCTCAATGTCACCCTCTGCTGAAGAAATTCCATCTTCATCCTTGCTAAGAATTATGTCTGTTTTAATTTGGAGAGCATAAAAGTCAAAAATGTATACAAGAACAGAGATGACTCATGTCATTAGAAACTATCATTGGGAGATAAATTTTAACTGTCCATAAATTCTAAAATTAAATCTTATTATGAATCTACAAGAAAGGATGGTGGAGAATAATCTCAAAAGAGGCTCAAGCATATAAATTTTGTAAGCTTAAGGCCATCACATATGACACACATGCAAGCAAAATATCACTACAGAGTCTCAGAATTGTTGTTATAACCAAATGCACCTTAGGCTTGGGGCTATATCAGACTTTACACAACTTCTGTTATATCTGCACGAAGAGTCAAAATGGTTCACTTGTACATAACATCTCGATTACAATGTTGACAGTAAATATGTGGGAGCCAAGTTCTCTTTAGTGGGTACAAAGTAGACATTATTCTCCACAGTTTCTTCTACAGAGGCTGTTGAAGAAACTGAAAACTAAGGAGAGGAGGGAGCGGGAGGTCAAATGTTAAAAAATCTTGAACAGATTCCATTCTGTAAAGTTCAAATCCTTAAACTTCAGTGTTTTCAATCCTCCCACTTTAGGTTTATGTGGAATTAAACATTAATTAGATACAACAGTATTCAGAGGAACCAATATGCAACAGTTCTAGAATCCAATTATAGAAGTTAGAGATATATTAAATGCTAAAATAACATTCATACTACCTCATAGAAAACATCTGGAAATAGTCGGACAAACACAGGTAGAGAGTATAAGTGTCTAACAGGAAGAAGGAATGCATTCCACAATGAAGACTCACCACGGGCGCGGACGTCAACTTCTAACGCCACATCAGCAAACAGTTCTTGCATCAAATTGAGTCTCTGGGATTGAGTGACTAATGCCTACAAAAATTTAATGATACATAAATATACCTAATGCGGTTCTATAGTGGAGCATTTATAACTTTATAAAGCTCGAATTAACACAAATTGGTGAAATAACCATATAATTAACAGATAGAATGAAACGAAAAGAGAAGGAATTGTTATGCGTTACAAGAGTTGAACTGTAAGGGATTCGCATAAAAAGAGATGAAACGGATCCATTCAAGAATCCTGGGTATAACCGATTTCCTAATTACGGACACAAATGGAGACAGACAGAGGGATATGGGATACCAATTTCGGTAAAATTAATAGAAGACTTCACCCGTTGGAGTTTTTTCTCGATTTCTTGGGTAAGTGCGGTTAGATAAGCAGAGCCCCGAGCCGTCGAAGCTTGTGACATTCTGATAAAACCTCCGATCGAGAAAAAGCATTTGAAAACAAAATCAAAACCCTAAATTCAATTCAATCAATTCGTACTAAGATAGATAGAAAGAGATAGCCATGTCCATTCTTATAAGCTTCCTCAGGCAAAATTGACAAGCAAAAACACGGACTCCGAAGGAGATTTGAGGGAGCCCGAAACCCTAGACGCCTAATATCTATGCTTTGGACAAATCACGGAGAAAAAGAAAATGGAAAAGAAACCAGTTAAAAGAGCTCTGATGTTGTCGGGAGGAGTGCGAAATCAAAATGGATCTCATGAGAGAGACAGGGGGCGAAGACAGGTGGAGTGAAATTAACACGTGTTCTTCCTTTGGGGGAAAATTTTTTGGCTGTCGGACCAACCGCTTAGAATACGGATCACTGCCAACAAAAAATCGTTTCAACCCTATATCAACATAATCTCACACCGTACATCAGATCCCACTTTTATCATAGGTCCCGATCGCACGAAGATATGCGATATTAGATAAAGTATGTATTTGATTCCGTTTATATTTATTAAGTAGATGGTGTCACATAAACGCCTCGTCAGCAAAAGCCTCGTTAATTGTTTTGGTATATATTCATGTTTGTAATGGATTTTTGTACCTCTCTCTTCTTTCAGGAAACTTCATTTTAATCTTTCTTGAAATGGGTCATAAACACCCACATTAATAGCTTTTTTCGATTTTACAGTCACAGAAAACATAAATGAAAGCAAACACCCTGAAAGTTGGTAGAGGGTAGGTAAAAAATCAGGCTCTTTAGAATTTTTCTAAATATGAGACGTTACCATGTGAGTTAATTTTGATCAATGGAACCAATAACTAATCAGCCCCCCACAAGACTCACAGTACATCCCCGATGTCATCCTTGGTATTATCATCGGTGGGGATGTGTTGTGGGACGTTGTGGGGGGCTGGTTTGAAATGGAATCATGGAAGGAACCTGAAACCACTTGTAAAATGCCCAAAACAAAGTCACATTCGTATCCTTTAGTAATATAAATTAGAAAATATTGGTTTGTTGGATCCGAACTCCGAAGGATGGAAATCATTCAACCTGTTTGATTAGAATGGTTTTGGGAGACTGTTAGGGATATTGTTAGGATCAATGATCAAAGTATCAGTATCAGGTATCATATCGGACAGTTTGGATACGGATACAGATACAGATACGGATACGGATACGGATATGGATATGGATATGGATATGGATGAAAGATATGAAAACACATGAATATGCTAGGAAAATGATACAAACTTTGTAAATACATCAATTACACTAACTTTAAAAGCCAAAATAGCTACAAATAAATAGGGTTGTTCATAAGAAGATCCAACCCGACCAACCCGGTCTGACCCAACCCGAGTCGGCCGGGTTTTCTTCAGCACCGGTCGGTTTCAGGTTATAAAAAATCATAAACCGATTATTCGGTTTGGTTTTGGTTTTCATGTGTAAAACCAAAACCGACCCGAATTAGTATTTAGTTCCTAGTTAGTAGTTACAACCTACTTAGTTCTTCACTACCGAGTTCATCAAGAGGTATGTTGTAAACATTAAAGATGACCCAAGACCCATCACTCCATCAATGAATAAATCATAAATCGATGATTCGGTTTGATTTTGGTTTTCATGTGTGAAACCAAAACCGACCCGAATTAGTAGTTAGTTCCTAGTTAGTAGTTACAACCTACTTAGTTCTTCACTACCGAATTCATCAAGAGGTATGTTGTAAACATTAAAGATGACCCAAGACCCATCACTCCATTAATGAATAAAAAAAGAGTACATGAATAAATGTTTGCCTTAAATTTCAGTATTTCACCACTACTTATCTACAGTAGCAAAGAGCATCTTCTTAGCTTTTGTTGGATCCGACCGACTTTGATAGTTTGAGCCATCCATTATATAGTTCATGTAGATTGAAATCTTACTCCAACAAATAGTACTCTCAAACTCTACTCCCTCCACAAAATCTGGAATTTATAGATGGCCACAAAACATTAAGGAAATGCCGGTTTCCTTTGGGAATGTAAACCCAAAAATGAACAGCAATTGAGTCACCACTACATAGAGCCGAAACTGACCGAAACCGACTCAAACCGATAAAGTCGGTTTTACTTAACACAGGGTCGGTTTCGGTTTCAATTTCAGGTAACCCAATCAGGTCGGGTCGGTTGGAAAAACATCAGTAAGCCGACCCAACCCGACCCGTGAACAACCCTACAAATAAAGCATAAATACATAAATAAATATATTACTAATATAACAAGATACATAAATATCATACAATTTTGTTGATAATCCAACAATCAAGAGTCCAAGACTCATATTATATAGTTTTTACAAAGTAAAACATGCATAAAACCATTATTATGTTAAATTATATAAGTCCATGACACAAAACATATGCAACTATTATATTTTAATTACTATAGAAATTATTTTCTATTTTTACTTTTCAACATTAACAAAAAAAGCCAATTAAATATTAAATTTTGAAATATTTGATAATATCAAAATTACTATCATATGAAATTCATAATTTTTAATTATTAAAGTAATGATTCCATTGTTAACATTTTTATTTTCTATAGTTTTTCTTTGAAATAATAAATCATTTTTTACAAATTTAAATTAGTGGATTTGATAAATTCAATTTAATATTATATTCTTGAATATTTTATAAACAATTTTTTAAAATTTTTGTAAATAATAAATATGTTATATTTTAGTCTAAATTAAAATATCAATGAATAATTATAAACAAATATTAAAATTTGAAGATACATATAATGTACAAATTTATGAAATTTAAGAACTAAAATAATTATCTATTATTAATATTTTTATTTGTATAATTTATTGAGAGTAAAAAATAATTTTTAATATAAATGAAAATTTGATAGTTTTTTTTCTTCATTGAGGTTTATAAAATAGTAGTTTTTAATATTACTTTTTTATTTTAAGTTAGAACTATTGAACATAAACAATATATTTGTCTAGATTCATGTTAATGGTTACGTTAACAAAATATATTTTATTTCACTTAATATCACATGTTGAATGATGGCGCAATGGCTTAGAATGAAAACGCTCTTTAGCATAGGTGCCAAGACTTGAGTTAAAATCTTCATAGGAGCATTTTATAAACAAGACAACGGATGCACGTGACACACCGATACTAATATGTATCTTGTTGATACGCACGACTGGACCTCTATCGTACTAGTCGTAGCATATCCCATATCCAATCCTACCGATACCGATACAATACGCCCGATAAAAGGTTTATCATATTGATATTTTAATCCCTGGTTAGGACACCATTTATCTTTTTTTTTTAATTCTTTAATCTATAATACTATCTATCTTTTCTATCACCACTTAAAATCCTAATTGCTTTATTATTCAATGTTCAAAATTTTTCTTAATTTGAAGGAAAAGGGCTATTATAAAGAGAGGCTACTTGCGTCAAATTTTCATTTACAGTGGTGTAGTTGTAGTGGCTAGTCTTTTCTTATAATCCAATAAACTTAAATATATCATTAATTAATGTAATACGTGTAAATTTGACATTATAAAATCAAATTTAATTTTTATGATTTGTACCAGAATTAAAATAAATATTCAATTTATAATAATATAGATATGCTGCTCAGTGGTGAAAAAAACTTAGGTCCCGTTTGATTTATAGGAATAGGGGTTTGGAATCGGAATTGAAATGGGATATTCCAATTTCAACTGTTTGATTGGATAAAATCAGAATCTCATTCTCATTCCTCATGGAATAGCATTCTCCTATTTGAGGGAATGGCCGGTCATTCCCTCCCCTTCCCTTGGGAATGAAATCCCATTCCAGTCGAACCTAATTCCCATTCCAATAACTATCTAAATCAAATATGAAAATAGACCATTTAGATTCCAATTCCAAAATATTTCGATTCCGATTCTACTTTCCAATTTGATTTCGACCCAAAGCAAAAAGACCCTTAAAAGTCACAATTCACAAAGCATATGTGAGCGCAAGAAATAAAAAGAGCAAATTTAACAATCCTATAAACTGCCTTGGTACCCAGTTGTAGAGGGCCCGGAGGCCATAACATTGAGCAAAGGAAACTCCTGAAAAGAAGTCTAAATCCACCATCATGTTTCTGATGCGCCAAGGATTAGGAGGCATAGAGGCCGGAATCCCCCAAACAGAGCCAAGGAGAAACTCACAAAAGCCATTAACATCTTGGGCTAATATATATATATTATTTTCATTGCTTGATTGATAACTGTTGCGTGTGGACTTAATATGTTGACATCCTTTTGAATTCCCCAGATAGATATTCTATTGACAGTAGCGGAATCAACTATTATATGGATTTTCTTAGCCTTGCTTCCTTGCCCAATTGCCCATTCTATTCCTTTGTACAGCGCCCAAGCTTCAGCCCGAACCACCGAGCAATTCCGTAGCCACTACTTGCGCTAAACCTCCCGGAAACTGACCTCGATGATCTCTCAGCGTTACCCAATTGCCACACTGACTCCCATTGTCTGTGAGACTGTGACTGACCCAGTAGTCGTTAAAAGTTAAAACTTAAAAAAATTACATCTGTTAAATATAATCGGTTCATAGCATGCCAGACCCGGTAGTCGTAATTAATATTTGGACAGGTTTTGGGTCTGTTATTACAAGTTAGAACTGATTCTACACGTTTATCAGTTGAATACCGAGTCTATTCTGACCTGGAGTAGTGAAGTGATAGGATCCGAATATGATGTGAGGCCCTCAAAATCGGATGCCATTTCATATCATAGTTGGATCTAGCTTTCAATAGTCAGATTGTAGCTAGATGCTGCTGGATCTCGTCCAAATCCAACCTTATTACAACCAATGTTTTAAAAATAATCAACCTATAACTGCTTTTCCCCTCTTATTTACAAGTCAACAGTTCAATTGTTTGGGCCATGGATTTGAAAACTGGATTTGATCGTACAATTGAACCAGTTGACTTAGGAATTGGTCAGGCAATCGGTTCTGTTTTATCCTAAAACCGTTTATGGGGCCAAAAAAATGTTAATTTGGTCAGTAACCCATTGACATGGGACGGTTGGCTGTCAACCCGTCAACTTGCATAATGATTTTTGATCATTTTATTTTAATTATCTTTTATTTTTTAAATCAAAATGGGTCATCCGTTCAAACCAGATGGTTGGACTGTTTGACCCGGGAACCAGTTCCCAAAATGGTTCTGTGTCCAATCCGGTTTTTTAAAACCTTGGTTCGGGCTGAGTGGATCAAAATGGTTCTGTTAAATATATTAGATTGGATGGTTTGGTTATTGAGTTCTCTATAGGATCCTGTTGTTTTGAAGAGTATTAAACAGTC